GTCAGAGTGTTAAGGCAAGTATCGTTGTTTACGAGGTCAGAGTGTTAAGGCAAGTATCGTTGTTTACGAGGTCAGAGTGTTAAGGCAAGTATCGTTGTTTACGAGGTCAGAGTGTTAAGCAAGTATCGTTGTTTACGAGGTCAAGTGTTAAGGCAAGTATCGTTTGTTTACGAGGGTCAAGTGTTAAGGCAAGTATCGTTATTACGAGGTCAGAAGTTAAGGCAAGTATCGTTGTTTACGAGGTCAGAGTGTTAAGGCAAGTATCGTTGTTTACGAGGTCAGAGTGTTAAGGCAAGTATCGTTGTTTACGAGGTCAGAGTGTTAAGGCAAGTATCGTTGTTTACGAGGTCAGTGTAAGGAAAGTATCGTTGTTTACGAGGTTAGAGTGTAAGGAAAGTATCGTTGTTTACGAGGTCAGAGTGTAAGGCAAGTATCGTTGTTTACGAGGTCAGAGTGTAAGGAAAGTATCGTTGTTTACGAGGTTAGAGTGTTAAGGCGAGTATCGTTGTTTCCGAGGTTAGAGTGTTGAGACAAGCATCGTTGTTTACAGGTTGAGGAGCTAATAGCATCGCCGCAGCTCAACGTACCGTGCGAGGAGAAAGTGTTCACAGCTGTCATCTCGTGGGTCAAACACGACCTTCCTGAGAGGCAGAAGATGGTCCCTGAGGTGAGACGAGACGACTCACTCGACCCCCTGACGAAGGGTAACTCACGACACAACTCACTGGCCAACCTACGAAACTGGAAACGACAATTGAGCTATGTTTCTGTCTGTCTTGGACGATGTTTCGGTCCGTTCTGGACTACAATCACTCGCGGATTTGTATGAGGACAGCCCTTCAAATGGAGGGATCTTGATCCAGGGAATTGAAGCGTCCTTCCAGTTCCCTGGATTAAGCCTGATTGCACAAAATTTCGTTCTGAGATCAACTCAGAAATTTTCACTGGAAGGTGACAGACTTGCCAAAGCTCATTTTTGAGCGAAATGCATGTGTCTTACTCTTACCCTACTCGCTATTTATTAATTTTCAAAGACAGACCGACCGATAGATCGTGCAGGACTGACTGAAAGTTCCTGCAGGACGGATTGAAAGGTGGTGCAGTAGTCGTTCCAGTATGTGAGGGGGGTCAGTTCTCGTTGACATTATGTGGTCCATGTTGTAAACACTGACAGTATAACCCAGCTTGGGAAGAGCTGAAGAATGAGACACTTTGTGCAACATTTGGGAATCCTCAATTAAAGATTCCCAAGTGTTGCACGAAGTGTCTCATTCTTCAGCTTGTCGGTTTTCTAAGAAGCATTTACTTCACAGCTTGGGAAAAGAATTAAAGTGAGACTACTGAGTGAAGTTGCAGAAAGGGAGGAAATGGATTTCTAGTGTAGCTAATAATCATGTAACTTACGTACGACTGACCTTTCCGTTTTAATTCCTCGGCACGTGCATTTGTTTACTAGTAATTAAATAGGTATGGTTTAATTTGTACTCTGTGATATAATCTTCAGTAGGTATGCTTTAGTTTGTACTCTGTAATATAATCTTTATTTTTTACTGAGAGTTTTTTCCTGTTTGTTATATATATACCTGACTAACTCCCAGTTAATTAATATTATACCTGTCTCACATCCATGCTGGTTACGTTAACCTCGTCACACGTGGCACAGCAAATCACCTCTCATCTGCTGCAATAACCTACAGCCCATCTGCTAAAATATCCAGCCACATACCTGCTGCAATAACTCACCATGTACCTGCTGCAATAACTCACCACGTACCTGCTGCAATAACTCACTACGTACCTAGTACAGTAATCTTACCACACCTGCCACCCACAGCTGCTGAAACACGTGCGTCTTCCGCTCTTGTCGCGTGACTTCCTTACCTCGAACGTGGACGCCGAGCCACTGGTGCGGGAAGATTCGTCCTGTCACCACCTGCTGCTGGAGGCCCTGAAGTACCACCTTCTACCAGAGCAGAGAGCAACACTCACATCCCCTCGCACGCAGGAGCGACAGCCAGAGGGTGTCAAGCCTTACCTCTTTGCCTGTGGTGAGTTGAACACTCTGGATTGTGCACATGAAGGATCGAACCTCTACTAGCGCTAGGGCTGAATGATCCACTTGATTACGTGTTACATAAAATATGACGCAGTTTAAAATATATAGTTACATGGTAGGAACGCCTGTGGAATGTGTCTACCGTATTTTGTATAATAGTTATATTATGTGAACTTGTGCAGCTACTCTGTTCTTTATGAGTTACGTGGTAAGAATGTTTAATGTGTGTGGCTACCCTATGAAAATAAGAACACTCTCTTTCTCTCTCTCTCTCTCTCTCTTTCTTCCAGGCTAGGGAAAATATTGAATGACTGCTAATTCTAAATTTTTAAATGGTAATTCCTCTGAGAGCAGTTACATTATTATTATTATAATCAAGGGGGAAGCGCTAAACCCGGAGGATTATACAGCGCCTGGGGGGGGGGATGTGGAAGGCATTCAGGCTTAATTCGGGGAACTGGAGCACAGATCCAATTCCCTAAATCAAGAGCCCCTCACCAACATCAAGGAACCTTCCTTGAGGGGAGAGCAGTTACAGGTCTTAAAAAAATTTTCTTAAAGAGCCATTTAGTTTGTTTCATCCTTACTTTATCCTCTTGTGGTTGATTGTTTACCTTCAAAGTGACACCTTGAGACAACACTAAATTGACTGTGTATATCATCATGAGCAAGTAAAATGTGATGAGAACTATGTAAGCTGAAGAACATCCTGTAGAAACAACGAGAAATATTATTGAAGAATTAGACACTGGTGCAACATCTGGGAAATCTTTACTATGGCAACGTCTCGCCAGCCAGTGACTTCTTCAGTACAACACAGAGAACTGTTCCTCTCTCTACTGGACTGAAGACGCCACTGGTTGACGTAACGTTTCCAAAAGATTTCCAAATGTTGCACCATTGTCTCATTCTTCAACTTGTCAGTTTTCTAAACCATTTACATAATAGGAGCGTTATTGTTAAAAACTTGTGTAGCAGTCACAGAGCGTCCCTCAGTAACACCTTTTACAATATGATACAACACCAACAACAGTTTATCCATCAGTATATATATATATGCTGGAACTTTGATCCCTGGTTTAGGGATTAAAGTGTTTTTGACAGGTGGTGTTAAAGGTAACATACAACCTTAATGGTACTTATGTAGTCAATTAGCATAAAAAGCCGGTGAATCCAGTCTCCAGTATCTAATGCTTTTCCTGTGGCTTGTAATGTGCTGCTGACTGTGGTGCTGATGAAGGTGCGTCTTGCCTTTGATCTTTTAAATTTGAACAGAAATTTTATATCTTTCTTGAAACCACAATGAACTTTTAGGCGAGAGAGAGAGAGAGAGAGAGAGAGAGAGAGAGAGAGAGAGAGAGAGAGAGAGAGAGAGAGAGAGAGAGAGAGAGAGAGAGAGAGAGAGCGAGAGTGAGAGAAAGAGAATGTGTGCGTGCATGCATGTGTGCATTTAACACCTCCTCCTCCTCTAATCTCAGCACTAACTGAGGCTTCTTCTAACAACAGCTAATTATACTAACACTTGTTCTCAAAGCACTAGCTATGAGTCTCCCTCTGACCACCTAACACTACTAACACTTCCCGTGGGCAGGTGGGGGTAGCTTGTTTGCTATCCACAGTGAGGTGGAGTGCTACAACCCTCGCACCGACCGCTGGATGCCCGTCGCTTCAATGAACTACAGGAGGTGAGTGTCTTCTGAACTAGTGGGAGTTGAACACCAGTTCCTTACCCTAAGAATGTTGAACACTGTCCTTCATCAGCCTTCACTACACAAACAACGATAAACTAGTGACTGACATACAACAATAATGTTTAACCAACAGTAGATAACCTTTCCTACCCTGTTGTGCTATTTATCCCACTAACACCTTGCTTGACCTGCTCTTGTAACAGGTCACGCTCTGGGGTGACTGCCCTGGGACGGTACCTCTATGTGATGGGAGGGTACGATGGTGCATGCGACCTGTCCTCAGCTGAAATGTACAACCCGTCCCTAAACAAGTGGATGAACATTACATCCATGGGCACCAAACGATCCTGCCTGGGCATTGGTACCACCAGTGGCCTTATTTACTGCGTTGGAGGTATGTGTGTTGGAGGTACTGATGTATTTGTTTACAAATATAACAAAAAATGTCAAATTGAAAATAGGAAAAAATGGAAATACTTGAAGATAGTGTGAAACTGTTGCCATAATTGTAAATGGTATACTATACTGAAACGTTGGTGAGTAAGACACATGAAAATTAGTCACATGTGCAACTTCTTTCTTCTTCTTAAAGATTCGCCGGTATTCTCCCGGCCCGGGCCTTTTCCAAGTGGTGGCCCGGCCTTGGCTCCCTCTTTAGGGAGTGTCTGAGACCTAAGTCTCCCATGGGAGGAGGCACAAGTACCTCCTCATCTTTGGGACCAACTGTCCCAAGGCCTAGCCACAAGCTAGGCCTCTCTGGTCTGCCATCCCCGCCCCAAGGAGGCAAATGGGAATGACAGTCTTATGAGCTAAAGGCTCGGGCTCAGTATGTTTATTGTAGACGTTTCGCCATCCAGTGGCTTTATAAAGATACCCAGATGTTGCACATGTGTCTAATTTTCATCTTGTCGGTATTGTATACCATTCATGTACAGTGAGACACATGTGCCTCACTTCAGTGTCTTTATTGCCTAAACGTCTCGCTCGTGCAGGTGGCTTCATCATCGGTTATATCCCAGCAGACAGTAGACGTGGTGAGGTAATTTTGAGGGTATCAGTTCCTCAGGAGCTAGTTCCTCTGAACATATATGTTGACAAATACACGAGAGCACTCAGGTATTTCCATTCTTGACAAAACTATTTTTTTACATCTCTAGTCAGATGTTTCCTGGTGATTTCTTCCCAAACATACATATGTTTGAAAAGAATTACTGAAGAAGTCAGAGCCAGCTTCATTATGCCGTGTGATGTGGTGTAGTGATACCGACTGTCTTCATTAATAATGTTTTTAATTATTTTCACGTCAGTGTGCAATTACCAAAAAGATACAAATATATACTGAGTTAGGATTTATTTTATTTGATATTGAAGCATGTATTGAGGGGTGTTTGTTGTTTAATTACTGTTGTATGAGTTGATGAATACTGGTTTGTGTGTGTTGATGAAGAATACTGGTGTGTGTGTGTGTGTGTGTTGATGAAGAATACTGGTGTGTGTGTTGATGAAGAATACTGGTGTGTGTGTGTGTGTTGATGAAGAATACTGGTGTGTGTGTGTGTGTTGATGAATAATACTGGTGTGTGTGTGTGTGTTGATGAAGAATACTGTGTGTGTGTGTGTGTGTGTGTGTGTTGTGTTTATGAGTGTGTGTGTGTGTGTTTGATGAAGAATACTGGTTTTGTGTGTGTGTGTGTTGATGAATAATACTGGTGTGTGTGTGTGTGTTGATGAAGAATACTGGTGTGGGGTGTGTGTGTGTGTTGATGAAGAATACTGGTGTGTGTGTGTGGTTTTGGTGGTGTGTGTGTGTGTTGATGAAGAATACTAGTGTGTGTGTGTGTGTGTTGATGAAGAATACTGGTGTGTGTGTTTTGTGGGGTGTGTGTTGATGAAGAATACTAGTGTGTGTGTGTGTGTTGTTGATGAAGAATACTGGTGGGTGTGTGTGTTGATGAAGAATACTGTGTGTGTGTTGTGTGTTGGGGTGTGTGTTGATGAAGAATACTGGTGTGTGGGGTGTGTGTGTGTGTGTGTGTTGATGAAGAATACTGGTGTGTGTGTGTGTGTGTGTTGATGAAGAATACTGGTGTGTGTGTGGTTGATGGAATACTGGTGTGTGTGTTGATGAAGAATACTGGTGTGTGTGTTGTGTTGGTGTGTGGTGTGTGTGTGTGTGTGTGTGTGTGTGTGTGTGGTTGTGTGTGTGTGTGTGTGTTGATGAAGAATACTGGTGTGTGTGTGTGAGTGTGGGGTGTGTGTTGATGAAGAATACTGGTGTGTGTGTGTTGATGAAATACTGGTGTGTGTGTTGATGAAGAATACTGGTTGGGGTGTGTGTTGTGAAGATAGGTGTGTTGTTTATGAAGAATACTGGTGTGTGTGTGTGTGTGTTGATGAAGAATACTAGTGTGTGTGTGTTGATGAAGAATACTGGTGTGTGTGTGTGTGATGAAAGAATACTGGTGTGGTGTGTGTTGATGAAGAATACTAGGTGTGTGTGTGTTGATGAAGAATACTGTGTGTGTGTGTTGATGAAGAATACTGTGTGTGTGTGTTGATGAAGAATACTGTGTGTGTGTGTGTGTGGGGTTGATGAAGAATACTGTGTGTGTGTGTGTGATGAAGAATACTGGTGTGTGTGTTGGATGAAGAATACTGGTGTGTGTGTGGTTGATGAAGAATACTAGTGTGTGTGTGTTGATGAAGAATACTAGTGTGTGTGTGTTGATGAAGAATACTAGTGTGTGTGGTTGATGAAGAATACTAGTGTGTGGTTGATGAGGAGAGAGTGTGTTCCTGGGTCTGGATGAAGGATATTGTTAGCGTCTGGATGACATCATGAGAGGTAATGGGAGCAATCTATTATTGTCTCGTGCTGGAGGCAACGATGTTGGCAGACGGGGGGTGGGACTGAATTAGCAGGTATAGGTCATCAATAGAATAATTAGTAGGAGGGTGGGAAAATCTATGTGTGCATTTTGAAAGAGAGGAGTTAGGAATGAATGGTTGTCGCAGAGCAATTGGGCAATTGGGCATGGACAAATATCTAGTCCAAGGAAAATGGGTAACAATCATTGAACTGGTCCTCTTCTATGGCAGAAATGAACATGTAGCCCGGAACGGAGTTCACTATCTAGGTGGGGTGGGAGCACTGGCCAATGTGGATTGAGCGAGACTTAAATAGGAATAGTTAGTAGCAATGGGTTTTTGCGGAAAACTGTGAAAATCGCAGGTATAATAATGAGTACCCAGGAGAACTATAATTCGGCAAAATATGTGGATATTGGATAACCAGTGCACTAATTGAACAAGACAGTAATATGGTTTAGTGGGAAAAACAAAGGAGCCAGGAGGGTAAATGAGATAGGATGGTCTTAGGGATTTATTACCACAAATAGCGCAGTGCTAGGAATAAAGATGGACGAGTAAGACTAGTTGCTATCAGGTTTATCACTACATAAATGTACGCCTTGACACCCTAAAAAAGAAACAACTTTATACAATGCAAGAACATACATCAGATAGAGAACATCCTATACAAGGATGAATACCACCGATTACAACATCTAAAACTCCACCTCACAGGACTCAAAGAATGACTCATCCCACAGAGGGTTGTCGTTTATTCATAAAGAATATTACCCTCGATCCTCAGATTTTGATAACTTACCTGACGAAGAAGATTGGATACCACCATACCCTTCTATGTATACTGAGAAAATCATCGCCCCCAATTGGGAGACACTTAAATAACTTTCTAATGTAAAATTATGCTATTGACTATTGTTAGGAAAACCACCATAAGAAGCATTGTCACGAGCTCAAACTGGCCAGAAATATTGCCTTTCTTGTCGTATAAATATCCGTTGTGCAATCGCAAAAAAAAAAAAAAAAAAAAAAAAAAAAAAAAAAAAAAAAAATTGCAACTTGTATAACTACAACCAATTCAGAGTCATGTACTTATATACCTATTATATTTATGTGACTCTGATGGGTTAGTATTATACCCCTTAAAGAATATCTTATCAATTAAATACACTTTTTAAATTACACCAAAGTGGTTGGGCCACTTACCTATTATATCCTACCTCTCCCCCCCCTCCATCCCTTTTCCAATATTTCCATCCTTACCCATCCTTCTTCCTTCCCCATCTTACCAAAGCTCTGGTCATTAGAAGCGAAGAAGCGAAAGAAGCGAAGCTAGTGCAGGTGACATAGATATATTTGCCATTACTGAGACGTGGTTTAATTCAAAAAGTCGGGACATGCCTGCAGAATGTCACATTCAGGGTTTTAAATTGTTCCAAGTAGATAGAAGTATCGGGAAGGGGGGTGGGGTGGCATTGTATGTCCGAGATCGCTTGAACTGTTGCATAAAAACGGGTATTAAGTCTGAAGTAACACATACAGAGTCTGTTTGGATAGAATTTTCAGAGGGGCATGAAAAGTTAATTTTAGGTGTGATATACCGTCCCCCAAATTTAGATAGGGACCAGGGGAGACTACTATGGGAGGAAATTGTTAGGGCCACAAGACACGATAATGTAGTAATTCTAGGAGACTTTAACTTTAGTCATATTGATTGGAATTTCTTGACTGGGAATTTAGAATCATACGACTTCTTAGAAGTAGTTCAGGATTGTTTTTTGAAGCAATTTGTGACAGAACCTACAAGGGGTAATAACCTGCTTGACTTAGTTCTGGCAAACAATGAATCCCTTGTTAATAATTTAGAAGTTTCAGAGGAACTGGGTGCTAGCGACCACAAATCAATTACATTTAGAATTGAATGGAAGTATGATAGTAGGGATAACTCAGTAATAGTCTCAGATTTTCGCTTAGCAGATTACGATGGGCTTAGAGAACACTTATCATCTGTTGACTGGGGTAACGAAGAGAGCTATCAATATGACAGTTTTCTGAACACAATACATGCTGCTCAAAGAACGTTTATCCCGTATAAAGAAATTAGATCAAATAGAAATGACCCAAAATGGATGAATAATAGGCTGAAATATCTACTAGGGCATAAGAAAGGAATTTATGGGCGTATCAAAAGAGGCGAGGGTCATCTTATGAATCAGTATATCGACATTAAGAGGGACATTAAAAAGGGGATAAGAAAAGCTAAAAGGGACTATGAAATTAAAGTTGCTAGGGATTCTAAAACTAACCCAAAAAGTTTTTTCCAGGTATATAGAACAAAAGTCAGAGATAAGATAGGTCCCCTTAAAAATAACTATGGGCATCTTACTGACAAAGAGAATGAAATGTGCTCGATTTTAAATAATTATTTTCTCTCGGTTTTTACACAGGAAGACACTAATAATATTCCGGTAATTAATTTTTATAGTGGGCCAGAAGAAGATAAATTATGTAACATCACAGTCACTAGTGAAATGGTTGTGAAGCAGATAGACCGACTGAAGCAAAATAAGTCGCTGGGTCCTGATGAGGTTTTTTCAAGGGTTCTTAAGGAATGCAAAATGGAACTCTGTGAACCATTAACTAATATTTTTTAATTTATCTCTTCAAACAGGTGTAGTGTCTGATATGTGGAAGATGGCTAATGTAATTCCTATTTTTAAAACAGGGGACAGGTCGTTACCGTCAAATTACCTCCCAATAAGCCTTACCTCAATTGTAGGCAAATTACTAGAGTCATTTATAGCTGAGATTATAAGAAGCCATCTCGATAAGCATAGCTTGATTAATGATACTCAGCATGGATTCACAAGAGGCCGGTCTTGTCTAACTAATTTATTAACTTTCTTCAGTAAAGCTTTTGAGGCTGTTGACCACGATAAAGAATTTGATATTGTTTACTTAGATTTTAGTAAGCTATTTGATAGAGTTCCGCACCAAAGACTGTTGAAGAAAGTAGCAGCTCATGGCATTGGGGGAAGGGTGCTCTCGTGGATCGAATCATGGCTCACAGACAGGAAGCAGAGAGTGTCCATAAATGGGGTTAAATCCGAGTGGGGATCAGTAACAAGTGGCGTTCCACAGGGATCAGTCTTGGGCCCGTTGTTGTTTATAATATATATCAATGATCTTGATGAAGGAATTACTAGTGATATGAGCAAATTCGCCGATGACACGAAGATAGGATAATTGATTCAAACGTAGATGTTAGGGAACTTCAGGAGGATTTAGACAAACTCTACTCTTGGTCAGAAAAGTGGCAGATGCAGTTCAATGTAGATAAATGCAAGGTTCTGAAGTTCGGGAGTGTCCATAACCCTAGCACTTATAAGTTAAATAATGTAGAACTTAGCCATACAGATTGCGAAAAGGACTTGGGGGTTATGGTAAGCAGCAACCTTAAACCAAGACAGCAATGCCTAAGCGTACGTAATAAGGCAAATAGATTACTGGGATTTATATCAAGAAGTGTAAGCAACAGAAGTCCAGAGGTCATACTGCAGCTTTATACATCATTAGTAAGGCCTCACCTAGATTATGCAGCTCAGTTCTGGTCTCCATATTACAGAATGGACATAAATTCGTTAGAAAACATTCAGCGTAGGATGACTAAATTAATACATAGCATTAGAAATCTTCCTTATGAAGAAAGATTGAAGACTCTTAAGTTACATTCACTTGTTAGACGAAGAATGAGGGGAGACCTGATCGAAGTGTATAAGTGGAAGATAGGTATTAATAAAGGGGATATTAACAAGGTCTTGATGATGTCTCTCCAAGAGAGAACCCGCAGTAATGGATTTAAATTAGATAAGTTTAGATTTAGAAAGGACATAGGAAAGTATTGGTTTGGAAATAGGGTAGTTGATGAGTGGAACAGTCTACCTAGTTGGGTTATTGAGGCTAGGACTTTGGGGAGTTTCAAATTTAGGTTGGATAAGTACATGAGTGGGATGGGTTGGATTTGAGTGGGACTTGCACATCGGAGCTTGTTTCTTGGGTGGCATTGAAAATTGGGTTGGTCAAATGTTTGTTAGTGGGATGAATTGTAAAGGACCTGCCTAGTATGGGCCAACAGGCCTGCTGCAGTGTTCCTCCTTTCTTATGTTCTTATGAATACTAGTGTGTGTTGATGAAGAATACTGGTGTGTGTGTGTGTTGATGAAGAATACTGGTGTGTGTGTGTGTTGATGAAGAATACTAGTGTGTGTGTGTGTTGATGAAGAATACTGGTGTGTGTGTGTGTTGATGAAGAATACTAGTGTGTGTGTGTGTTGATGAAGAATACTAGTGTGTGTGTGTGTTGATGAAGAATACCGGTGTGTGTGTGTTGATGAAGAACACTAGTGTGTGTGTTGATGAAATTGGTCATGTGTTTTATAGGAATATGGAACCATGTTGATATTAATATTTCTTTTTTGAGTAATTATGGGTGTATTATAATTCATATGATATGTAAATGCTAGTGTTGTGTGTCATAACAGTGGAACACTCTGTGTGTCATAACAGTGGAACACCCTATGTGTCATAACAGTGGAACACTGTCATAACAGTGAAGCACTGTGTGTGTCATAACAGTGGAACAGTCTGTCATAACAGTGGAACACCCTATGTGTCATAACAGTGGAACACTGTGTCATAACAGTGAAACACTGTGTGTGTCATAACAGTGGAACAGTCTGTGTCATAACAGTGGAACACCCTATGTGTCATAACAGTGGAACACTGTGTCATAACAGTGGAACACTATATATGTCATAACAGTGGAACACTATATGTGTCATAACAGTGGAACACTGTGTCATAACAGTGGAACACTATATATGTCATAACAGTGGAACACTATATGTGTCATAACAGTGGAACACTATATGTGTCATAACAGTGGAACACTATATGTGTCATAACAGTGGAACACTGTCATAACAATGGAACACTATGTGTCATAACAATGGAACACTATGTGTCATAACAGTGGAACACTATATGTGTTATAACAGTGGAACACTATGTGTCATAACAGTGGAACACTATATGTGTCATAACAGTGGAACACTATATGTGTCATAACAGTGGAACACTATATGTGTCATAACAATGGAACACTGTCATAACAGTGGAACACTATGTGTCATAACAGTGGAACACTATATGTGTCATAACAGTGGAACACTATATGTGTCATAACAGTGGAACACTATATGTGTCATAACAGTGGAACACTATATGTGTCATAACAGTGGAACACTATATGTGTCATAACAATGGAACACTGTGTCATAACAGTGGAACACTATATGTGTCATAACAGTGGAACACTATATGTGTCATAACAGTGGAACAATCTACGGAGATGTTCATGTTAGGAGAACCTAATCTGTTTTTCATTTTCCTGGAGTTATCATCACCTGATATTCAGGTGATGATAACATTCCAAATTAAAATTCAGTGAAGCCAGAGGCTCCAGGACCTGAGATACTAACCTCAATAAGACTCCATCTCTTGGCCCCTGCCAGACTCTGTCTCTGGACCCTCACTGTGGTTTCTGTTGGCATCCAAATCCCTCGTCTATGCAGCAAGCGTTTAGTACTGATCTTTGACAGTCCTAAAATAAGTCTTCAGTGTGTCTCTTTTGCCTTCATACACACTAATGCTGAATAATAATTACATATAATAATTCCCACTTCCGCCCATCAGCACTAACACCTGCGTCACCCTCACTATATGATAAGTGTCAGCACTACAGTGTTTACCAGTAAGAGCCGTCAGTAACATGCAGCACGTCTGTTTACCAGGGTACGACGGAGCGTCGTGCCTGAGCAGCGTGGAGAGGTACGACCCTCTCACAGGGTCTTGGACTTCGTGCCCAGCCATGGCTACACGTCGACGCTACTGCCGGGTCGCTCTTCTCGGTGAGTTCTCCTGAATTCTATCATGCGTCAGTCATAAGTCTTCTTTCTTCCTGGTAATGGTAAACTCTCTTACATCTTATCTTGTGTCAGTCATAAATCTTCCTTCCTGTGAGGTTTATTTGTTCTATAGATATGTTCTACTGCTTATACGACTTATACACGTCGGCCGTCTCCCACCTAGGCAGGGTGACCAAAAAAAGAAACTTTTACCGTCATTCAAAACTTTCACCATCATTCACACACAATCACTGTCTTCGCAGAGGCGCCCAAATATGACAGTTTAGATGTCATTCCAAACAGCCAGTATCCCAAACCCCTCCTTTAACTAAAGAGTGGGCATTGTACTTCCTACCTCCAGGACTCAAGTCCGACTAACCGGTTTCCCTGAATAACTTCACAAAATATTACCCTGCTTACACTCCAACAGCTCGTCAGGTCCGAAAAATCATTCGTCTCCACGCTCCCACATGCCTGCTGCATGTCCAGGCCCCTTGCACACAAAACCCCATTTACGCCTTCCTTCTATCCTTTCCTAGGACGACCCCTACCCCTCCACCCCGCCACTATAGATTTATATACCCTCCAAGTCATCCTATTTTGCTCTATCCTCTCTAAATGACCAAACCTCCTCAACAACCCGTCTTCAGCCCTCTGAATAATACTTTTAGTAAATCTACTCTTTCTAATTTCCACACTACGAATTCTCTGCATAGTATTTACACCACACATTGCCCTTAGACGGGACATCTCCACTGATTCCAGTTTTCTTCTCGCTGCAACATTCATAACCCAAGCTTCACACCCATATTGGTACCACTATAGTACTCTCGTACATTCCCTTCTTTGCCTCCATGGATAACGTTTATTGTCTCTACAGTTACCTCAATGCACCACTCACCTTTTTCTCTTCATCAGTTTTGTGGTTACCTCGTCCTTCATAAACCCAACTGCCGACAAATCTATTCCCAGATATCTGAACACATTCACTTCTTCCATACTCCCTCCCTCCAATGTGATATCCAATATTTCTTTACTTAACTCGTTTGATACCCTCATCATCTTACTCTTATCTATGTTCACTTTCAACTTTCTTCCTTTACACATATTTAATGATGATGACATTATTATGTTATGAAATAAATCTTTTAGTGTCTGTCTTCTCTTTTTAACTTTGTTACAAAAGTAGTCTCATTCTGTCTCACCACCAGATAACTGCATCTACGCCCTGGGTGGCTTTGACTCGACTAACTACCAGTGCACCGTAGAGCGGCTGGACCCACGGGTGGGCAAGTGGATGTCTGTGCCACCCATGATGAGCAGGAGGAGCAGCTGTGGCGCTGCCATACTCAATGCCATGCTCTACTGCATAGGCGGCAACGATGGCACCATGTGCATGTCGTCGGCTGAGAGGTTCAACCCTAGAAGGAATACCTGGGAGCCTATCACTGCTATGCATTCTCGCAGGTGGGTGGCTGGGTGGTGGGTGTTGTTGGGCGGGTGGGACTGTAGGGTGGGATGCACTTGCACCTAGTGTGTCTACTGACTGATATTCTCGTTGTAGCAGTCTCCCGAGGCAGCCATCTCTGTATGTCTGAAGCAGTCAGTCACCTCTCCGTATGTATGAAATCTGAAAGGCAAAAAATATGCAAAAACACACTTAGCAACGAATACGCGATATGAGCAAAACGTTGTACAGTCGACGTGTTCTCTGTGCGGTTCAAGAAATGAATCCCTCCGCCTCCCATAACCCAGCTCCTGTACCTCAGTCCACGTAACAGCCACAACAGCTGTACCTTAAAACCATCAAGATGTACGGAGCATTATATCGTCTTCTTTATGAAACCTAGGAGTTATGACTCAACCCTCCTTAGGGATCCGGGAACTGGTTGTGAACACATGCTCGAGGCTCCGAAGGTTCAGGTCCGGTCTTTGTTGTTCCATATAATGTTTTAGTAATTGAGTGGATTTTTGTGGCCTTTAATTACAGCAGAGTTTGGCTGTGACAGTGCGCCTGTCTTGATCTTAGTGAACGGAGGATAGCGCTCACTCACGAGGTGATGGAAATTGATGGGTTTCTCTGATAATCATGTTCATTGACAGGTCAACCCATGAGTTGGTGGAGATTGATTTTTTTAATAATTGTGTTAATTGACAGGTCGTCACATGAGTTGGATGTGATTGATGAGTTCCTCTAATTGCGTTAATTGACAGGTCAACCCATGAGTTCGTGGAGATTGATTATTTCTTTATAGCAACTGTGTTAATTGACAGGTCAACCCATGAGGTGGTGGAGATTGATGGATTCCTCTACGCCCTGGGAGGCAACGATGGCTCTTCTTCCCTCAACTCCATGGAGAGATACGATGCCAAACTCAACAAATGGGTACTCGTCACCTCCATGCTCTCCAGACGGTAGGTATCGTGAGGTTATCAGTCATTATGGTAGATTTGCAGGGTCAGTGGTTATGATAGATGTCATGGTAGGTATCATACGATACCAGTTATCATGGTAGGTATCATGCACTACCAGTTATCATGATAGGTATCATGCAGTACCAGTTATCATGATAAGTATCATGCAGTACTAGTTATCATGGTAGGTATTATGCAGTACTAGTTAACACGGAAGGTATCATGCAGTACCAGTTAACATAGTAGGTATCAAGCAGTACCGGTTGTCATGGTAGGTATCATGCAGTACCAGACGTCATGGTAGTTATCATGCTGTACCAATTATCATGGTAGGTATCATGCAGTACCGAACATCATGGTAGGTATCATGCAATACGTTTATGATGGTAGGTATCATGCAGTATTAGTCATCATGGAAGGTATTATGCAGTATCATTCATCATGGAAGGTATCAGACAATACCAGTCATCATGGTAGGTATCATGCCATACCAGTCATCATGGTAGATATCATGCAATACCAGTTATCATAGTAGGTATCATGCAATACCAGTCATCATGGTAAGTATCATGCAATACCAGTCATCATAGTAGGTATCATGCAATACCAGTCATCACTGTAGTTATCACGCAATACCAGTGATCATGGTAGGTATAATGCAATACCAGTCATCATTGTAGGTATCACGCAATACCAGTCATCATGGTAGGTATCATGCAGTACCATTCATCATAGTAGGTATCATTCAATACCAGTTATTATGGTAGGTATCATGCCATACCAGCCATCATGGTAAGTATTATGCAGTACCAGTCATCACGGTAGGTATCATGCAATACCAATCATGGTAGGTAGCATGCAGTACCAGTCATCATGGTATCATACAGTACCAGTCATCATGGTAGGTGTCATGCAGTACCAGTCATCATGGTACCATGCAGTACCAGTCATCATGGTAGGTATCATGCAGTACCAGTCATCATGGTAGGTATCATGCAGTACCAGTCATCATGGTAGGTATCATGCAGTACCAGTCATCATGGTAGGTATCATGCAGTACCAGTCATCATGGTAGGTATCATGCAGTACCAGTCATCATGGTAGGTATCATGCAGTACCAGTCATCATGGTAGGTATTAGGTAGCTTTCTATCTCCATGGTAGGTATCATGCAGTACCAGTCATCATGGTAGGTATACCAATGGCAGTACCACATCATGTGTAGGTATCAGAAGTACCAGTCATCATGGTAGGTATCATGCAGTACCAGTCATCATGGTAGGTATTAGGTAGCTTTCTTATCTCCAGCTGCCAGACCAACACTCGTACAAACACCTAAATTATTTACCACCCAGAGTGGTGGATGACCCAAAAACGAAAGCATGTCCACCATCACTTGATACATTTCCAGGAAGGTGAAGACATCATGAGTGATGGCTCACTGAGCTTTATACACGTTAGATTAGATTAGATTTTTTATTTTGACTAATTACATGGTTGTATAGAGGAAGGTAATAGTTGGGTGTACATGCGAAAAGCCCGTCTATATGCTGAGCACTTTTTATTATGCGACCAAAAATACTTTAAAACAAAAGCGACAGTGGCTGAGCATTTTATTCTTTCTTTTTATTTTTCCTGTATACCCATAACCTCCTTTTTTTACTCTGTCCTGCTCCAGTTTTTTTTCCTTCCTTCTGTTCTTACCTCCAAAAATTTGGCTAGCTGAACTCCACCTTTCCCACCAAACCTCTAAAGTGCATGCGTTAAACTCCCCATCTTTAGTTCTGGTAACCCATTTCTCTGAATGCCTTCGTAGAATATTGCTGTAATATCTTCACTTTTTTCTGTACTTGGTTTGATATACAATTTCAGATAGACATTGCCTGTCAGATGTGTCCCTAAACCATCGAATCTCAAAATGCCAAGCCTCTTTCGCAACCCCTATCAAACGTTCTCACATATTCCTACTGGAGGTACAAGTCACTTTTTTAGCCATATCTCTTTCACGCGTTCGTTCCTTTTTTCTTACGTGAACATAACATAACCCCCTTTCTCTATTTCGCTGTTCGAATTATATTTCCCATACTGCCACAGTGTTCACGTTTCTTCACTCTTATTCTGTGTATATCTTCCCACATTTTTGTCCGTATCTATATGAAGAGAATTCCTTGGAACACAGTTGTAGAACGGTGACTGTGTTTCTCTCTGTCTTATCTTGCTTCCCTTAACATTCATGTATCTGTGCTGAAGTGATGTGTTTTAAGACGCACCTTGAGTGAGGGGGAGGAAAGTGTACTATAATAACATTAATAAAGTAACTGCATTAATTAATAATGCTTCGTAGAAGTGAGTACAAATAGGAAGTACGTCTGTCTCGCTCTCTGCAGACTAAGGATCAAGCCTTCACCATGTCTTCGCTGAATGACCCACATGGGTTTAGTACTAAACATGAATTAAACATCTGGGAGATTAAGAGGAGTTCAGTAAGATAGTTTGGTAGCAGATGTATTGGATCTGGATATTTTACTGAAGCTGTGTTTGAAAAATGCTGACTGCTCAGATACATCTCTGCATTTTCTATTGTTATCCCATAAATCAAGAGAGGACACACAGTTACTTTTAAGTGCTTAATAGATTTTCTCTTAAGTTTTTAGTTCTAATTTGCAATAATATTTAAATGTTGAAATGTTTATTTGTGTTTTTTTTCTTTTCCCAAATTAGGCATATTAATGATTCTACATCAAATATGGTGATTTTTCAGATTTACAATATTTCGTATAGAAAATGGTTGGAGATATAAAAAAAATACTTGCTACTTTTTTTATATATCCAGTTTAAAATCTTCACTCATCTGCCATTCATTAATTAGTAGGTCGTCAGTGGGGGACAGTACTGACCTGTTACTATTCAGTCACCATCATGTCCCTGTACCTAGTACATCGTGGGTGGGGAGGAAATATGCTGAGATTGCCACCAGTCATTAGCTGTCGTGTTCTTGTATCTAACAGTTCGTTGTTGGGGCAAGAACGCTAGACTGTCACCAACTAATTATTCTCTAGTCCGTGGACCTAATAGTTCTTAAATGAGGGCACTACGGGCCCTGTCCCCGCCAGTCACGCTTTGCCCCTTGTATCCAACAGGGGTGGCAGGGGGGCAGCAGTTTTGGGCCCCTGCCCCAAACCCCGGAAATTTATGGAACCCCGAGGGAATTAATCTCTTTGTCCACCCAGCTCCCCAAAGGGAAAAATATATAAAAAGGGGTAAAAGAGAAAAAAAAAAAAAGGTGTTTTTTCCTCCCCTGTTAGCAAACCCCACATGTTTTTTTAAAAAACACCATAGAACCGGAGGGAAAAACAAAGGTTGCCCACGGGTTTAATACCCTACAGGCTGAAGCTTTTTCACTCCTGGTGAATTTCTCCCCCTAGTTTCCTCAGGGGGAGCCGCCAGTTTTGGGGACTGCCCTAAAGTTGGAGAGGGGGCTAAACCAAGTCAACTTGCAGGGGGCCCGTTCCCACCCCTCGTGTAAAAATCACTGGATTACCTGGGGCACCCCGGACCAATAAAACCTAAGAACTAGATAAAATAAACCTTATTTTGTTCTTACACGTGGGCCCTTCTAGTTTAAATTCTTGGGTAAAAAAATTTTTTGTCAGTAAACTGGGGTGGGGGTGTGGGAGATCTACCCCCTTTTCAAACTAAAAAACTTTAGATTTTTTTTTTACAAACCAAGGTGTCAAAATAAAGTGCCCTTAGTTGTGTATTGAATAGTGAGTCTCCCAAAACCCCTTGTTTTGCCCAAAAAAAAAAAATTTTAATAATTTTTTATGGGGTCTTCTAACTAGTTTCTATGCCTTCAAGTCCAAAAAATTTGTTTTAACTGATCTTTTTAAGCCAGTAGTCAAAAAATTTTTTTTTAAAAATTCAAAAAAATGCCTTTTTGTTACGGTGCGAAAAGCCCAATTTTGTATAAAAATAACTTAAGAAAAAAGGTCCCCTGTGATTTGAAAATTGTACAATGAAGGTCACCTGTGAGGGGAAAGGGTTGTCAGAATAAACTTTGCTCGGGTTGTCTTTCCCCCTACTATTTTAATGATAAACCTTGCATATTGAATATATTTTTTAAAAAATTCCCAAACCCCCCAGAAAATTTTTTATAAGGCCAGATTTTTAAAATTTAAAAGGGAGTTATCAAAAATCTATTTAGTTACTTTTTGTTTCCTTCTATGGGATATAAATGGTGTTGTTTCCCAACATCGGGAAAAAAAAAGACACTTTTTGAAAAAAAAAACTTTCCTCCGGTAAAGGGTTTCGCTCTGTGTGGATTTTATCATGACTTACAAAACCCATTTAAAGAGCTAAAGTCCCAAAAAATCCTTGTTCTGCGGGGCTTTTGTCTTTTTTTTCCCCGATTTTTATTTCACCCTACATTATATAAGAAAAGTTGCATCCCCAGTATAACTTTTTCCCTAAAATCTAAGGGGGGCTTTTTTTAAAGGGGTGCCCTGATAAGCATTTAATGTGTTGTGTTTAACCCTGAAAGGGGTTTTTAATTGACCGACGTGTTTAATCTGACAGGGTTTTTAAATGATTTTGACATGTGTTTAATGCCCTGTTGTTTTTAAAATCTGAATGTTTTTAAATGATTTTTGACATGTGCTTAATGACCCGAGGGTTATTATTGACCTGACATGTTTTTTTCTAAATTGTTTTGGCCCCATTTTTTAATTTTTTGTTTTGTGGATTAAGTCCTTTTAAAAATGGTTAATGATTTAACCCTCTGTGTTTTCCAGACCCTGACATATTGGACCAGAGCCTAAACATTTTGGGTTTTTCCGACCTGAATATTGTTTTCCAAGACCCCTACAATTTGTTCCAGAGCCTGACATTTTTGTGTTCCGACCCTGCCCAATTTTGTTTTTCCAGAGCCTGACCTTTTGTGTTCCAGAGCCTACTTTTTGTTTTCCCAGGGGCCTGACATATTGTTTTCCCGAGCCGGACATTTTTG